GGCTTTTTCTCCCCACAAGTATTTTCAGTGTTGAATGAACATTATTTGTTCAATTACACCATTATTATTTTGGAATTAAAGCTATACTGTAATTATAAGTATCTAGAGTTACACGTTTATCTCTGGGTTCATGTTATCCAGTATTGTGAAAATTAAAAAAAAAAAGCTGGAACTTTAAACTTAAATCTCATTGAAAAGTTAATCATGGAGTCGCACACAAGGTCGTGTCTAATGCCAAAGTATTTTGATGCATAATTTAATCTCACTTAAAACATACATATATATTTTCCTACCCATTTCCTTAGAGAGTGTCTTCAGAATTCTTTATAGCCCTAACAACATTCCCCTAAAATCTTTCAATTTTCATGTTTTGAAGATTTTTAAATCCCAAAAAGAATAAAATCTTGTTTCTGGCCCACTGAAAGATTAAGATTTGGAAAATGTAGCACAGTTTCTCCATTTAGAATAGCCAAGGTTCACTGATAATCATTTTTGCAGAGAAAGAAAGAGGGGGAAAAAAAATAATAAAAAAAAAAGGTTATAAAAGATTACCTTCACACAGTAACTAAAATTCATCTTTTTCTTTTCAAAGACAAGAAAAAGGGTAGCTGTACTACAGAGTGCTTAGAAAGCACTATCTTTCAAAATAGGAAAGAAATTCCAGGTGACATCATTTTTGGCTAAAGCTCAAAGGCTACTGTGAAGGGATACAGCTCTTCCCAATTATTCCCCACGTAAGGATCAAAGTGAAGGCAAAGGGCCAATTCTTAGAGATACCTCATCCCAAATGTGCTATGTGACTACCTACATACTCATTGCATATGTGAGAAGTACTTTTTTATCAGTAAAGCCACAAATGCTCCTTAAGGAGAACTGAATTTGAATTCTTCCCCACTCTGCTTTCCCCAATAAAGATGATGACCAAAGACCAAAGTGGTTTAACACAAAGCAGCGTTGATTCTATTTACACAACACTGGACCAGCTAAAAGCAGTGTTGTGAGGCCACGTTGGGGGGGAGGAAGGAGAGCAGTGGACACTGAGGGCATACATCCTGTCACCCAGCATACTAGTTTTGTTCCAAAGAAGCATAACGGAGTTTTAAAAGCCAGGACATTTTTTCAGGCCTCTCCTTGTACAGAAAAGTTATACCGATCGAATCCAAACTATTTTTAAACAGGTTCTGACTGCATAAATGCCTATGCAAAATCAATTTGCATTAACATATTTTATTTTGCAGTTGAAGTGGGCTAGGAATGCACACCCACTCAGTTACCGTGACTCAGTCAATCAAGAGTATCTCTTTAAGCTACAACGGCTCAATTACTTGCAACTCCTTGTCGCTACCTGAAAAGAGCTGAACTGGTTTTGAACCAGCCAGTTCAAGTAAGCTCACACTTCTGAATTTACCTCTGAAAACCTGTATTGACCAGTTTTAAGTTTTCACAACGAATTTCCCACCAATGCAATTACATCGCCTTCATTTAAGTATATGCTTAGCTACCACAGCACAACTTTCTGTGAGTCTGTGTCAGGGCATGAGCATTAAGGAACTAAAAGCATACTTCAAATACATAGCTCTCTCAACTCCCATGTTAAAAAAAGAAGGCTGTCTGGTGTAAAACGAGCTGGCTCCACAGGGGAGAAACCAGAGTGAATCCTACACACTACCCCGTGTCACCAGATCTGGCTGATTTGTTCCCGCAGCCCCGCGGATGCAGCGCGGGGCGCTCACCGCCGCCGGCCGCGCGTGCCTGAAGGTGGGAGCGCAGCAGCCACGGGGAGGCAAAGGGAAGGCCCCGTCCAGGACTCTGAGGGGCCAGCCCTCTATCCTTCCCCAGGGATCACCTCCACCCAGACCGGCTCTGTCACACCCCTCAGTCAACACTGTTCCGCCTTCAGGGACATACTGTTCGAAGGAAGAGAGATCACTCACTTCCATTTCGGGCCCATGCGGTTCCCCTGCGTTTTTGGTGGCTGGCCACAGCCTGAAATGTGTGTGTGTGTGCTGCCTCAGGCTCCCCCTCTCTACATAAAGTGTATACCTGTTTACACACACACTTCCCAGTGCCTTCCCCACGTATTTCCTCCCAGATCACCCCAAGGAAAAGGAATGGCCTCTGAATACTCCATCCTATGACAAAACACCACCTAATGAGAAAGGTTTTATTAACAAAGATATATTTAGCACTGGCAGCACAGAGATCAGTATGTAAAGTAACTTCATTCTCTTTGGCCTTCCTATCATTCCCAGTGAAGTACGCAGACGACACAAGACTGGGGCAAGAGTAATGCTCAGGTGTGGGACTTTTAAGCTATCTTGGAAGAAATCAGGGAGCTAATGCTACAGAATAGGATACTGCGTGTGGAAAAGAGCCTTTTGAAAAAGTAAAGCTGGTGTTTTTGAAAAAGTAAAGCTATTCTAAATGGAGTGGAAGGCAGCAGACACTGGTGGAAAAATATCCATATGATAGAAGTAACTAGTTTGATAGACCTGGATGTAAAAGTTTTAAACTACAGAACAAGTATCATATAAAGCAGAGCTGTGCAAACTTTCCAGTGTTCAACTCCAACGGTACTATGAAAATAATACCACAGCCTTGGCCTTTTCTGCTTAAATAACAAGCTGTAAGCAAGAGCCAAAGATGTCTATCATTTGGAGAGCAAAAAGTAGACTGAGACCACACTCTCACTTTACAGATAGCTACAAAGATTACATGAAGATAGGACTGTAAAGACATATCTTTAAGTCCCTGCCAACCTAATCAAGATGGTATTAACAGTGATCTCACACTCCATCTGCCTGGCTAGTAATTTATGAAAAACGTACTTCACTATTACAGGAAAAATATGTTGCACTGCTTGTGGCCACAAACCTACTGCAGCAGCTCAGGAACTCTTGGATCAGGGGCCATGAGACCAGTTCTTGACATTTACCAGGTACTGCCCATGAGATATGATTCATTCATATAGCAATTTTGTTTGTTTGTTTGCTCTCCTGATGATCTCATCTTCACACAGATAAAATAGCTGACAAAAAACTTAGTCCCTTGCAATTTAGAATGTAATACCATATTGTTTTGCTTTTCTCCTGTGTACTCTACATAGGTACTTCACTTAATGTCATGGGATTCTTTTTATGAGTGAAAAATCTCCCTATTCTTGTACTGATCAGCAATAATTTCTGATTAAATTACTCCTTTTCCTGCCAGAAAACAAAAAAACCCCTCATATTAGCTACTGAAAATTTATTTCTTCAATTGGTATTGCATGCCTTTTCCTTTAGCTTACATTGCCTAGGAATCAGACCTATGGGGCTTATTAGTTGCAGAAAGGATTTGGGGTTTGGGTTTTGGGAGGATGGGGGTTGGGGAGTGGGGGGGGGAGGGTGTGGGTAGTAGTGGTGATGGTGTCATTTTGGAAAACAGTATGGAATCTTCCCATTTCCATCGAGGCAAAGTTTGGAGGCATCATTCTAAGATCAGAATTACATGAGATGATCTCTGGGTATCAAAACAAAAAAAAATAAATACCCACCAGTTTCAACACACTGGAATTAATTGCTAATTATGCATTTCTTCACTTAGCAAAACTACCGTTTGGATCATCCTAGTTGCTGCAGCAACTAAAAAAACAGGATATGCAATGAAGAACATGGATAACCAAGGCAAAAAACCCTACTGTAGTTCTACAAATGTTTTTTCAGCTGCACATTGAGGAAAAAGTATCTAGGAAACTACTAACTGCTATAAATGAGTAAGTTAAAATATTCAGAGCAATAACTAAGGAATAATGGCCTACGATCTAGTAAATTCCTACTCATCTGAACAACTTACAGACATCACTGCTTTTTACTCTGAATAACAACAAGGTGAAATGAGCCTTTAATATTATTAGAAGGCTTGCACACTCAATGTCATTTGCAAGACTTCTGCCGCAATCCAAGTGTGTCAAGTTTTCCTCCTCTAGTTGTGGGTCAAGACATGGGCTTGAAGCACAAGATCTCTTTCTTACCAAATAAATACCCAAATTACTTTGTATATAAAGGCCGAGTCAATCTCAGGAACAATTTTATCAAGAAAATTGGTAAATTTAGCCTTAGTAGCATTTGTTCCATCTTCAGCAGTGCAGATGAAGGGAACTCCTTCCCTAAGAACATGTGCTCTTGTGGCTCCAAAATCCCTCCATAAAACTAAATACCGCCATTTATTGTATTGCAGCATGCTAATATTAATCTGAAATAACTTGGGTAAATTTTCTAGTGTTCCTTTTGAAGTGTCTAGCTATGATACCCACAACTCATACTCAGGGAGAATTTTTTGCCCCCTGTTTTGCTCCTCAAATACTTTCATTTCTGTTCAGAAACCCCTTTTACCAACCTCACTTTGCCAGATCAAATAAACCACAGATTTGTCTTTTAGAAACATTCTTGGAAAACAAGAAATCAAAATGCCTTCACTTTATCCACCAGATACACACTTTGTAGCTTTGCTAATATATGCAAATTGTCTGATTGCTTGAAATTACTGATTAACCAGGCTGGAGAGCTGATTACCTGATTATCCAAAGAAAAATAATTTAGCATGATTTTGTGTCATTTGGCAGTCTAGATAATTTTCTAATTAATTTGAGTTTTCAAGTAAATTCAGAGATACTACTGAAAAAGAGAGAAGAGGTCAATGATCTGAATAAAGGTAAGCTTTCCAGGAATTTTCTTCCCACAACAATCATTTGTCAAATGTTATTGTTAGTTACAGACACTTCAGACACACATACACACACACAAATCAGAGCTTAAGACTTCCAAAAATATTCAAAAAACAACTCATGGTAAAATCTTCAATGCTTTTGTAGAGCTGGACATAAAATTAGTGGTGCACGAGTCTGACACATGGCACCAAACTTGCAGTGTTACCAATAAATTCTGAACTACACATGAAGCAATATGTAGCAGATATTTTGTCAATATGCTGAGAGAATAATAAATACTGGAAATACATACTTGCCACTGAAAAGTTGTTGAGTGGATATGGCAGATCCACATCCTGGGGCTTCTCCTTATAGCCTATGAAAGAGCCATCTGTCTTTAGCAGGAAATATCTTGGCCGCCAGTTTTTTATATATTCTCCTAAAGGAGAAAAAAAAAAATGTTCATTAGTACTGTAGAAAAAACCCTTTGATATTAAAAAACATAACATATTATCAGTGTCTAACACTAATTATACCAAAATCTTTTCAGACATTTTCAATTTACAGAGGAAACCTTAACTTCCTCCAAAAGAAGTAAAAAATGGAATTGCAATGGTAAGCCTGGACTATACAGTGATGCCTCTAGAATAAGAAGCTACATGTACTGTACAGTAATATTCTGGAATTCTAAATTTTATCACACTGTACTGTTCAAAATCCTACATCTTTACACCTATAAACAGTTTGAAATTTGCTGCAAGCAAAAACAGGCACTACAGCTTGACTTTTAATAACAAAATGAAATCTAAACTACTGCAAGAACATTTATCCTGCTGAGCCAAAGCAAAAACCATTAATTTTCTCAAACATACACTAAACAAGTACAAGAAAATTGGGCGTAATGGGAGAACCTACACAAAATATACTTAACAAATATATCTGAAAGCAAAAGGAATAAAAACGTAGAAGCCAATTACCTTCAAAGTGGTAAATCCACCAATAAACCCACCACCTTCACCTACTCCCTACCCCACTCTGAGCAAAAGAGTCTGCAAGCCATGAGGTATGAAGGACCAGAAACAGTCAGCAAAGACACAATAGCTTAATTAATGCCACTTATTTGCTGGTTAGGGTGAAAAATCTCTTTAATAGCATTATACTTTACAGTGCCACACCAAAATCTCAGCAACAATTTAATTTTTAAAGTGCAATTACTCAGTTACATACAGGTGAGTTTATATCTGCCCAAGTTTACCCATCTTTGATTTCTGGCAACTTTGCAGAGTAAATAACATATGTACAAGTACTTAGTAAGACTTTAAATAAGTTACTGTTTCATCCTTACACAAGTGAACATTTTAAGAAAAAATGTGTATTAACAATGCAGAATTTCCAACCGGGCCTAGGACTTCTCACTGTTTGCAAAATGCCCAGAACTGGCCATCCCAGGGGCTGCACTGGTCCTGGACTAAACCCGGCCCATTAGTGCTATTTACCTCCTCAGCACCCTGTAGCTATGTAGCTTTTAGACAATTCAAAGGTCAGAAATAAGTTTACATCCATCTGACACAGAGATTACTCCTTCAAAGGCCAATCTCAAAATTCATGAATCGCATCTTCACCTTTCCATCGCAGCAATCAACTAACTGTCACTGAAGTTCAACATGGGAATTTTTAATACGGCCTTGATAATAAACTTGATCACAATTTACAAGGATTCTGACAATGCCCACAGCTTAAAAATCAAACTTCAGCCTTTAACATTTCTGACTTTCAAGTTGTATTTAAGCAGAGAAGTGGGGTAGGGAGTAGGAGATAAAGAAGAGGAAAGAATGAGAAAAATTAACTCTAGGCTATCTGTCCTGGCGTGTTTCCTGGCTCCCAGAAGCAAAACTCTTCCTATTTATTCCTGCTTCTAGATAGCAGGGTACCTGCTTGATTTTGTTATCTAGATATTTTCATATATTTAGAAAGAAAATTGAAAAAGTCAAAGTGTTATTTAATTTGACAGCAAAATTAATACAGCTGATATAGCACTAGTTACATTTGTACTCAGAGCTTTCTATCTCAGATCTCAGATCTCTGGTGTTAGTTCGGCTGGGCACATCCCTACTGACACTGCCAGTCTGAACTGATCTCACAATGCAAAATACCAGCTAACATAGAAACAAACAATAAAAATTACCCCCAAAAAAGAAAATTCAACAACAGTCATGAGATATTTGTAAATTAGAGAAGAAATACAAGTGCAGTAGGGGAAAACAAATGTAAAACTTTAAAACCAACAACAGTGAAAAACTAGATCACTAAATAAAGACAGGAAGACATTTATTGAATTCGGTTTGCTGAATACTTGAAAACAAAATAATCATAGGCCTAAGTAAAGGTATGACTCGTATTTTAAAAACATTTAAAGTATGCCATATGACAAATTTGCTGAAATCTGCATGGATTCAAAAGTTGAACCCAAAACAAAACCTTACGTATCAGATCATCCAATATAAGTTTTTAAAATACTAACATCCTAGTTGCTTTCTTAAACAGATCATAAAGAGAACCTTCCATACAATTCTAATAAATTAGATCTTTAGTTGTAACACTAACTGACTTATGAGAGAAAGTGCCTGTTACTAGGTTTAAAATCTATGAAGGTCTTAGTCTTATCTAGAAGGTGTGTTAACTGGAAGGCAGGCACCTAAAATTACTGAAGAAGAGTTCAAGGACAGCATGGAGAGAATACCAACATGCCTGAAACAGGCCACCCATCCAATGGTTTAGGTTTCAAAGAGAGACCTCCTTTTCATAAGGAATAAATGAGACAGGGAGATAAGCAGACTGCTCTAAGAATCAGAGCTGATAGGGTAAGTACACTCATTAGTCACTTCAGGAAAGAACAGAAGCCTTTGTTTACTTACCTACACACTCTCCAGAACCAAACCTGTAGAAAAGGAGACCATTCTAGCAGGTGCCCTTAAGAGACCCAGCACACCCTTCCCTGATCACTTTTACTCCTCTTTTTCTTAGGAAAACACTCCAGATTGCATTTGGCTTCTACTAGGCACTCAGAGTCTCTTAATCAGAAAACTGAACACATTTTTTTTATCATCTACTGAGTTATACAGCTGATATTCTGCCTGGAGAAAAACCATTAGAAGAGTATGACTAGCACTTCCAAGCTCCTCTGAAGAGAGCTAGAGACTGGACAAAAGCTAATCACAAGAAGATATAAATATTGAATGATGTATAAGTATCAGTTTATCCATGAGTACAGCTGTACCTCTGTGTTTGCCCTGAAAACTATAGCCAGATGCAAGACATGCAATTTAAAAGCAATTGCAAAACACTACGGTTTCATAAGGATCCACATCTTCTTTCACAGACGTATTTCTTTGAAGAATGTTCCTCCTAAATGGTCCCCCAACACACATCACGGTCCGACTGATTTTTCAAAACATCTGTATAAACGCACACAAACAAACAAAAAAAAACCCCTAGATTTGTCTTCAAATGACCAATATTCCAATCTGTCTTCAAGGCCTATACATGAATATTTATCATCTGACCTTTATTTATTTTGTAATTTAATTAACAAATGGGTGAACACTTTTGAAGACTAAAGTAAACAGTGGTATGAGTGAACAGTTCACTTAGCTGCTCAAGTGGTCTGATGGCTCTCAAGATGCACTCTAGGTGCTCTAACTGCATTCCTTCTACAAAATCTGCTTAAAGACAGAAAAACATTTTAGTCCATAGTTCTTAACAGATATGTGCTTACTGAACTGCTTTGAAAGAGAAATCCTCCATACAAAAAAAACACTAAAACATAGCAGAGAACAAATACTTCCACATGCCTTCTAATTTACCAGCCCTGCATTAAAAAAAAAAAAAAAAAAAGGTATGCTTTACAATATGAGCAATATTAAATTACTTTAAAGATATCTGGAGTGTATGTTTATCAAATACCTCAACACAAGAAAACAACAGGAAATTTACATCTGAAATTCATTAATTGAAGTGAAAAGAAATTCCAAGAGAGCAAGTCCAGGCCGGCTAACCAAACCACAAGATATCCTGACAATTTAATGAAATGGAGCTGTGGTACTTAAAAAAGCAGTGGATCTGCCATAGAGAATTAATCAGTTTGTACCCTGCTTCCTGCTGAGTTAATGTAAGCTAAATTATTATTTTGCTTAAATTTACACCCTTCTAAGTTGAAAAACATGTTCGTTTAGGATCTGTTTATTAGAAAGTAAGAGGTCTCTAATTTCAACCACTGCAGCAAAGAAAGCCAAGAAATTCCTACATCATTTTAATTCTATTCAAAGTTTTTAAAGCTACTTGAGAAAAGGGGCACTAGAATATGCGTCTCACAGATATGTACAGACAACAAATACATACATACACACACACACACAAATAAATACAAATGTAGGATCAGTTTTAGGCTGTTGGGGTCTGCTTTTTTAATAGCTATTGAGAATGCACCCAAAAGACTAAATAAGACAGCAGTACGTTCTTGCAGCACATGAAAATGCAATCTGATCTTCATGCAAAAAGCACCATCATAACATGCAACTCTTTAATTAATGTTTTATTTAATAATACACTGGTTAACAACAGTAACAAAGAATGCTTAATGAAGGTTTGTTTAGAACATGACCCTCATGGCTGGCTCTGTATTCTCCTCTGTACCGCAACCTTAATGATTTTCTTTTTTGCCTTTGACAGCTAGTAACAAGAAACCTGCCTTCAGGACATTTCACAAAATATGTTTATTCTAGTGATGCAATGTTTGTAGTTTTGATACTGAGGAGCTTTACAAAAGAAGAGCTTTCTAATAAACCATATGAGTAGTCAACAACTCTGTGTTAGACAAACGTATTACTCAAAGTTTGTAATTTTTTTACTTCACCTCAGAACTCAAACACTTCAAACAGATACTTCATATCAGATTCAGTGATTGCTATTGTTAGCCTTACCTCTTCCAATCCTTAAGCATAAGAAAATTTAGCAAATCCTGAAAAATTATTCAGTAATTTAAAATTAATATTATTTTTAAAAAATGCATTAAAAAAAAAAAACACTTTTGCAAAACATCTACATTTTCAATATGTAAATGGTTTTAGAGGTGTGAAGGGAATATCTTTAATATACAGTGCGGATAAGCAACAGAAACCTGAGTTCAAAAACTTGCTTCCTTAAAAGAAGCTACAGCTGCCACACAGACATAAGTGATATTTAAAGGAAGGAGAAAGGAAAAAAAAAAAAGGGGGGGGGGGGGGGGGGAAACACACACACACACACACAAAAAAAAAAAACCCTCCAAGCAGAGAACACTGAAAATCTCTCTCTTCTCTGTGTCATCAATTTACTAAAATGGATTTAATAAAAATAATACACAAATGTTGTTCTTCCTTCCTTTTTTTCTTTTTCTTTCTT